GCCGACTGTTAAACAGCCGGCCGACTGTTTGCCAACTGTTTTCTTCTTTCCCCCCTTTTTTGGGTTATTTTTATTGCTGTTGATATTTTTCATGTAATTAAAAATTCTGTTTCGACATGTAAATATGGTTGTAGTCCCAGTTTGTTATTTTGATGATTTCGAATCGAACGAAAAATATCAATGGGTATGGAAATGGACAAGTGATAAACGTGGTGGTATCACAATTTTCATATCATCAGGTATATCGTGTGCAGAACTCTATAATGATTTACAGAATAAGTTGAATGTTGATTCTTCTTAGTACAACATGGAATTGAAATTTAAATTCAGCGAGCATGCATCAGTTCCGATTCCACCTATAATGGTTTCTTCTGTTGATGAAGTGAATTATCTGATTGAACTGAACAATAAGCACACGACTCCTCTTTGCGTGACTTTAGTAAGGAAGGATGTCGTCGAAGATGAACAAGTAGACTCGGGAGGTGGGGATCACAATGCTAATGATTTTTGGGATACGGTGGAGATAGCTCGTGAAGATGATGTGGTTATTCCAGAGATAGTTGCACACAGAATTCCCTCCGCTGCTCGTGACAACCAAAATGAAAATGCAAACACTTTTACAAACGAGGACTTGATTGGTTTATCCCGGCAGAGACATGAGTGGGGTGGCACCTCGGGGGCTAGATCGAGTGGACCGTCCTCTAACTCCTCACGCGTGGTTCCTGATAATGAGAATTTGTATATCGAGCAACTGTTTGAAACGAAGAAAGAGTTGCACGAAGCCGTGCACCCAATTGCACTGAAATATAACTTCGAGTTTAGAGTGAAAAAATTGAATAGGTCATTGTTGACGCTATCATGCATAAATGATAGTTGCAGTTGGAGTTTGCGAGCAACGAAGATAGACACGAATGAGTGCTTCGTAATCGCAAATATATACGAGAACATACTTGTGAAGTGGGAGTTTGTCGCAATGATCACAGGAAAGTCCGAGCTTGGTTTATTGGTCAACAGATAATGCACAAGTATCAAGATCCACGGACAATCTACAGACCATCGGACATCATTACGATATTCGTCGAGAGTACGGAGTAGTCATGAGCTACCAAAAGGCCTGGAAGCCCAAAAAATGCGTATTGGAGGATTTAATGGGCTCGGCAAAGGAAAGCTATGCTAAATTGGTCATGTATTGTCATAATATGGAGAAAACTAATCCTGGCTCGGCATTTTTTATTGAGACGGAGGCCGATAACTGCTTCAAATTCTTCTTTATGGCTCTTAGACAATGCATTCTAGGATTTCGAAATGCTATACGACCCCTACTTCTAGTCGATGGTACAACTCTGAAATCCAAATATCAAGGCTAGTTGATTATTGCTACATGTCAAGATGTCAACATTCAAATTCACCCTCTTGCATTCGGCATAGTTGATAACGAGAATGATGTGTCGATGCGTTGGTTCTTCACAAAGCTAAGAGAAATAATCAGAGAAGTCGAGGACCTTGCATTTGTCACCGATCAGGGACAGTCTATAATAAATGGTATTGCTGAAGTTTTTCCCGATGCACATCATGGATATTGCATGTACCATATACAAGGCAACTTGAAGACCAGGTATCGAGGCAAAGTCATCATTTCATTGTTTAGGAGAGCGACCGAAGCTTACAGTATTGAAGAGTGTAATATGTACATGGTTGAAATAGGAAGCAAATCATTCCCGGCATGGGACCATTTAACGAAAATGGGGATTGAACATTAGGCGCGCTCATATTTTCCAGAATGTCGATACAACATGATGACGTCAAACAATGCGGAGTCTCTCAATGCATTATTTAAGAGAGATCGAGAGTTACCCATTCTCGCACTGATTGAGAATATCCGTACGAAGCTGCAGCAGTGGTTTCACGATCGACGTGAGGAATCACATAATTGCACAACCGTGCTAGCCCCAGCATAAGAGGTAAAACTCTTCAAGAGTGCAAAGGCTACGAGAAAGTTAAATGTCGAACCACTAGATGAGTCGCGCTTCTCTGTGGAATGTGCACATTATACGGCATATATGGTAGATTTAAGTGATGGAATATGCACTTGTAAAAAATTTCAGTTAGAGAGTTTTCCATGTGAGCATGCAGTTGCGGTGGCTATGTATCGAGGATTTGCAGCGAGAACATTGTACTCTCCTTATTACACTGCTGAAAACTGAAGAGTTGCGTATGTTCAAACCATATTTCCGCTTCTAAACGAAGCCGAGTGGGAAGTTCCCGATCATATTCATCCGTTCAATACATTGTCTCCACCTCTCATTGAACCTTGTGGTCCTGGACGTCCAAGTACTTCTAGAATACCATCTACTGAAGAGTTTTTCCAACCGCGTAGGTGTAGCAGATGCAAATCAGTAGGACATACTCGCCAATTTTGTGCAAGTCAGGTTCCCTAAATGACAGTTAGAGCATTGTGTATTTCCATTGAAATGAAAAATATTTACATTGAAATGAATAGTATTTATATTGAAACGAATAGTATTTACATTGAAATAAACAGTATTTACATGAATAATCACAAAAAATAATTACAAATGTTAAGTACAAAAAATATTTACAAAATAATTTATGGATCACAATTAAATTCATACAAATCACACATTAACTTATTTCGTCAATTCTGTATCCATGACTGGTTGATTCCATCATACTTATGTGCTATAATCAAAAATTCTATGTATTTGATTGTGAAAATCCCACAATCGCCCCTGCAAATGAACAAATATGTGTTAGTTCGGTTCCAATTATGTACGAACTGATTACTAAATAAAAAAAAAAGATTACAAAGACGTACGATATAGACTATCTCGTTGTCGTCGTGTCCCGCACGATGGCTAGTTTGTCATCCACAGTCAAGCCCGCATGTCTAGCCATCATAGGAACGATCACAGTCATCAGCTTTAAGATCTGCTCGAGCTGTCCCTGTGTCAGACATGAATGATCGGGGTCGTACACATATATCGTCGAATCAGTGAACACGATCTCCAGTGCAATACAGTGCTGATTCGCGATAACTGGAATGTACAAATGCGTACAACCCTCCCATGGCTTTTCCCCAACACTCGGTGACAGCCCGATGACCCACTCGAACATATACGCGGGAAGCACGTAATCGTTACTTAGAAGTTGGAGGGACTGATACTCAATGGTAACGGCACGGAAGAACTCGGTGTTCAGTATAATGCGGCCAGGCTTGTGGAATGATTGTGGATATCTCTTAACTCGATCGCGCAACAAGTCCATGACCATGTCGATGTGCTACATCAAGGAAAACAAAGACATAAATACTTATTTCATTTACCAAATTAAACATAACGTATACAAAAAGTAACATTAACACTTCACTTACATCGTCGGCGAGCCAAGCCCCCTGAGTGGTGATATCATGGAACCACTTGTATGCATCCAATATCGTCCTTCCGGCTATCATTTGCGTGGCTCTGGAAATAAAATAGAAAAAAAGTTAAACGAAGCATATACGAGTAATTCTAGTCTACTAAATCATATAATACTTACCCGGAAAATATTCTTCGCCACTTAGCCTCGAATGCTTTCCACTTTGCATGGTCGACCTCCCAGAACAAATTGGGGTACGTCCCATCGACGAACCTCCTCCTCTTCGCCTCAGTCGTGAAGGGAGAGACGACGTACTGTGACAGCACTCTTGGCCTCTTGTCGACCACCGTCTCCGACATGTCAACAGCACGCTTTTTTGCCTGATACACTACCACCTCCTCCATCCCAGGGCTCGCCACCTCCTCCATCCCCTCATCTGCCACGGTCTCCGACGGGGCCACTTCCTCATCTGCCACTCCCTCATCTGCCTCCGTCTCCCTCCCCGACGGGCCCCCCTCCTTTGTCACTATTCCCGTCCCATCGCGCTCCATGGATAAAATAAACGATTCTCATGCATCGTCATCATGTATGTATGACTGCTGGAGACCCTCATCTCTACCACCCCCATCCCTATCACCCTCTCGATCACCGTCTCCGTCAACCCATCGCCTACCGACTATATCACCCCGAAGTGCTGTAATCTCATTCGATAAACCTTCGACCCTTCCTACCAACTATCGTCCCAGATCATCAACCCTCTCTATCATCTCTCGGCGTAGCCCGTCGACCTGCCCCTCTATAAATCTACTTAGACGAGCGTACAAATCATCAAAATAGTGTCCCTAACTACGTGCTGGAGATCCACATGAGAGGTCTCTAAAAGGGGAAGGCGAAGGAGATGCCCTCGACGGTGGAGGAGATGCCGTTGGTGGCATCTCTGGCGGAGGAGGAGATACTGTCGGTGGCATCTCCGGCGGAGGAAGAGATGCCCTCGGTGGAGGTAGTGATGCCCTCGACGGAGGTGATCGTCGATCAACTGGATCACGCTCCTACACAAACAACAACATTACAAATTATTAATTTCATCCGTAAATGCTAACTCATACAAAACGGTAATCAATAGATTTTATTTAATTCGCTCACCCAATCTCGGTCGTGGATTGGATTGGACATATGGTCGTCTTAGGTGTGCAAAATGCCTAATTCATGCACAAGACCCTGAGCCACCTCCTCCATCGATGGGGTCAACTCAGTTATGACTTCAAACTGACATATTAATATTTGAACTAGTTAATGATTATGCAATCAAATGTTCAATCTCATTCGACATTATAAATTACAAATTCATAATACTCACCCGAGGGTCGTCCAGGATAGCCGATAACTGTTTCCCAGTGGGACATCCCTCCGATCGAGATGCTCTCCAATGGTGCATCCGAGGGCAACATGTCTCCCCTCGCCTCCCAAATCAGGCACCCAATATGGGGACGACCTCGTACGCCCAGATCTGCAACACATACAGTTATTATATATAAATTCAATATGAAAATAATTTTAACATTCATTATGTTAACCATTTACCTACACCGCCAAGGACAATCCATAGGTGTCGTACTTACTCATGGCTCCCTTCGGCTTCGAGTGCAATCTGGTGAAGACGTGCACAATGTCCTCATAACATCTCCGGCCCCACGATTAGTCGTTGAAATGATCGATGTCGTCAACGAACTCCAGATGGAAGAGGTCGATTGCAGTCTTCTTATGGTGACACCGCACCACGCTCTCAAGGATGTAGACCAGACCTAACTTTAGTCTGTCTAACATCTGATCACACCTGATTGCGTTCAACAGCTGTGTAAGGAGCACAGTACCCTGTCCCTCGAAGTAAGCGTCATGAAGCATATTTCTTCTCTGAGTCCCATCACCAGCTGCTTCATCGCCCGTAATCTTTAATCCCGTGATCCGAGCAAACTCGAACATCGAAAAACTGGTGATTTTACCCCCGATTGCAAAATGGAGGGCATCACTGTCGACTGGACTCGGCAATTGACATAGAAGTGCATCAATAATCTGACCCGAGTACTGCAGATCTCTCAAGGGGTACAAGGGTCACAGGAAGGACTGGCGCAGCATATGAGCATGCTGATCATCAAGCAGCTCTAACACAGCTGTGAAACTATCAAAACTACCATTCCACGTAACTTTGCCTGACATCTGTCTCAACTCTGTGTCAAGATGATAATCCATCCTTTACAAATTCAAATGTTAGAATATTGTACAAGTTATAATAGTAATAACATAAAATTTAGCGAACGAAATTGTAACTACAATACGCAAAACGCAGATTCATAATAATTAAAATCATCAATAATGTGAATTTTTTTATCCTATTATCAATTTTTCCCAAATATCACAAAATAAAAATAACTATTCAATTTCAAATTAAATTTCCATCAATTATTTCAAATTACAATTAAAAAATTCCCAACAATTATTTCAAATTATTATTTACCAAAAATGAAAAAATAAAAATAAATATTAAAACAAAAATTAACTGTAAAAATTTTATTTAAATTTAGTCGTAACAATTTTATCTAAATTCGACAAACTAAATAATTTATTATTTATTAAAACCAAATAATAAAAAAAATTAAAATTAAATTATTAAATTATTTGTGAAAAAAATAAATTGGGCAAAAAAAAAGTAATATTATTTATCAAAAATGAATAATAAAATAAAAATAAAAATAAATATTAAATTTCCAACAATTATTTCAAATTACAATTAAAAATTTCCCAACAATTATTTCAAATTATTATTTACCAAAAATGAAAAAATAAAGATAAATATTAAAAAAAAAATTAAATATAAAAATTTTATTTAAATTTAGTCGTAAAAATTTTATTTAAATTCGATAAACTAAATAATTTATTATTTATTAAACCCAAATAATAGAAAATTTTTAAAATTAAATTATTAAATTATTTGTGAAAAAAATTGAGCAAAAAAAAAGTTATATTATTTATCAAAAACTAATAATAAAAATAAAAATAAATAAATTTCAAATTAAAATTCCAACAATTATTTCAAATTACAGTTAAAAGTTTCCCAACAATTATTTCAAATTATTATTTACCAAAAATGAAAAAATAAAAACAAATATTAAAACAAAAATTAAATGTAAAAATTTTATTTAAATTTAGTCGTAACAATTTTATCTAAATTCAACAAACTAAATAATTCATTATTTATTAAAACCAAATAATAATAAAATTTTAAAATTAAATTATTAGATTATTTGTGAAAAAAATAAATTGGGCAAAAAAAAAAAGTAATAATATTTATCAAAGACTAATAATAAAAATAAAAGTAAGAATAAATATTAAATTTCAAATTAAATTTCCAACAATTATTTCAAATTACAATTAAAAATTTCCCAACAGTTATTTCAAATTATTATTTACCAAAAATGAAAAATAAAAATAAATATTAAAACAACAATTAAATGTAAAAATTTTATTTAAATTTAGTAGTAACAATTTTATTTAAATTCGATAAACTAAATAATTTATTATTTATTAAACCCAAATAATACAAAATTTTTAAAATTAAATTATTAAATTATTTGTGAAAAAAAAAATTGGGCAAAAAAAAAAGTAATATTATTTATCAAAAACTAATAATAAAAATAAAAATAAATATTAAATTTCAAATTAAATTTCCAACAATTATTTCAAATTACAATTAAAAATTTCCCAACAATTATTTCAAATTATTATTTACCAAAAATGAAAAAAATAAAAATAAATATTAAAACTAAAATTAAATGTAAAAATTTTATTTAAATTTAGTCGTAACAATTTTATCTAAATTCGACAAAATAAATAATTTATTATTTATTAAAACCAAATAATAAAAAATTTTAAAATTAAATTATTTGTGAAAAAAAATTTGGCAAAAAAAAAAACAAAAAAATGGGCTGACTGTTAGCAAAAAAATGGGCCGACTATTAAGAGGCGGCCCACACCGACTGCAGTAGGTATTGGGCAGACTGTTAAGCCAGTCCAATACCATCGCTACCCGACTGTTAACAGTCGATTTTCAGCCAAAAGCCGGCCTTCTTCACGCTTTCTCGTAGGAAAATCACCATTTCTAGCGAGGAAAGCTTCCAAATTCAAGCAACCAATATTTTTTTAGACTACATACACCCTATTTTACTAATATAAACAAATAAATATTGAAAAAATCTCCAAAATCTAAATATTAAATCAACCAACGGTAACTTACCTTCACAATACGTCGCCGGCGATAGATCAACCTTGCTCTGACCAGTTTTGCGATTTTCAGTTTTGTGAGAGTCGGTTTTGTGAGGGGTATTTTGGGATTTTAAGCTTTAAATTCAATTTTTTTTAATTACAAAAAGGGGGTCAAAGGTTACTTTGGAAATAGGATCGATTTATCTAGTCATTTCCTATAATTTCCTCATATGCAAGGTCACATGGTCATGTTTTGCACTAAATAGTTATTAGATAGTACAACATACTAAATTTCAACTGCCTTTCTAACGGCTCATTTGGCGTATTGTAGAATAGTTTTATGAGGAAGTGTTCATGACACGGCCCGTCTCAAATCACCTTAATGGATTCGACACGTGTCGTACGCCGATGGTAAATACCAACTAAATGTCAAACCCACCACCAAGGCAACCTTAACTTGTCTGACTGCAAGATATTTTTAATAAAATTTTGACAAAGTTTCCCTAAAATATGAATTAAGACCGCTTGAACTGACACGATCCGTCTAGAATCACCCTAGTGGACCCGAAATGGGACGTGCACCGATGATAGATGCTAATTAGATGTCAAATCTATCACCATGGCTGACTATGAGTTATTTCAAAAATGCAACAAAATCATGTTTTAATCATGCATCTTCAATAATCTATCATATAATTCATAATTCATCATTTTATTTCAGAACACTTTCTAACCTTAACATAATCCATTACCATAAATCATTATCGTGAATCAATCACTCATCATCTTTAAATATAAGAGCAAATATTTCCTCAAAATTTCCTAATCGCAAAACTTTTG